ATACTTCATAGTCCTGGCGCAGGGTGGAATTAACGCAACATTATTTCGAGAAGAGAAAGCGCTATGAGTTTCTGACGGTGTCTTCGAGTCTGGGGTTGTACCCGTTACTCTTTGAATAGTGTTTGGTTTCCTGATTACTTACAATAGTAAAAAGCGGCAGTAATGTTTATGAAAAAACAGGAGCCGTGGAAGTAAACCACAGACGGAGCTGCAGCAGCAAAAATCACTGGGGAATAGATGCGTCGTTAAATATTTACTTATAGTTTAAATCTTTCATGTAAACTTACCAATTAAAAACTGTTATATCGCCGAAAAAGCAGGATCAGTGGCAGCGAACCACAGACGGAGTTTCAGTGACAGGAAGCACTTACCAAAACAACTAGAAGTCCTTGGGGAAATCTCTAAAGCGATGTTTTTTGCCGAATTAATGTTGAAATTTCTAATTTAATTTTCAGTTGCCAACGAATAAGAATAGAGTAAATGTCAAAGAATTGTTCAGTGATTGCAAATCAGTTTTGGAATAGGCAATGAGGTAGTTTAGTACTTTTATAAAAGCCGGTAAAATGTAGTTTTTTTAAGAGGGAAACATCGATTTAGCTAAGGGAGCCAATATGGCGGATTAGAGCGAGAACGCTGTCAATATCCAACACCTTGTATTATTCCACCATGGTCTATATCTATCTCGATTCGTTTTGCCTGTTACAAACAGCCGTTATGTAAACAAAGTTATTATACCCTTGCGTATAAGTGCGCTCGGGTATAAAAATACTTGACATCCGCATTCGCATCCGCATCCGCGGATGTTAGCGTTTAAACATCCGCATCCGCATTCGCATCCGCGGATGTCTAAAATTCCACATTCGCAACATCCCTGTTACAAACAACCGTTATGTGAACAAAGTTAATATATGTGCACAAGTGCGCTCGGGTATAAAAATTCAAAAAATGTTATATGCAAAAATATGAATGCCATTTTTAAGATAATTTCATGATTCGCATAGATACTTTATCTATTTCGCTTTACGTAAGTCCAAGAAAAACATGTATTTGCATATATTTCCATGCCCTATTCATAACCATCAACTGTAAATAGTACCGCAAAGAATTTAGAAGGCCAACAAACACAAAAAAATATACATAGCTCAAAGTAGACCATCCATTCTCGAGTTACGCGCCGTCTGACGTACTCAAGTTTTGTATATACATACATACATATACATATGTATTTTTAATAACAATCGATGTAAATAAGCAGGTTTAAATTAAAAAACTAAATCAAATTCGTTTTTGTTTTAAAATACCACTATGCACTATTATCCGCACCTTTTTGTGTAATTTAGCTACCATTTTAGGAAGTGGGATTGAATTCTTCCCCTTTTTCTCTTGCTTCCAAAAACCATCCCTGTGGGTGGGAGTGTCAAATGTTAGAAAAAAGCTACTTACAAAATATTTCATTATTGCATTAGTGCATTTACATGGTATGAATCTGTTCATAAGCCGTATGAATCATGATACAAATATTTAAAAGTAGTTTCACTTCTTCTTCTTAGCCGCCATTGCTCCCATTTGACGTAAACTGTGCTTTTGGCATTTCCTTTTGAAATCGAGCTACCATATTCTTTGACAAAAGTAAAAAAGTGATTGATTATCTACTTCAAAAAAAAATATAATTATTTAGTGAGTATAAAACGGAAGGTAATTGAAACATTACATTGTATTCACATAAAATATGCATTTACTGTTGTTAATTTTTTTATTGTTTTTTAGTAAGATGAGCTGCATATTTAGGAGCTGCAAAAATAGCAGAAGAAGTTGCGAAAAAACTAACATACAGTTTTTTCGACTCCCGGCGGTACCACATATGCGGGAAAAGTGGATATCCGCGTGCATGGTAACTGAAAATGCGTTACCAAAATTATCTTTTGTTTGTTCCGAGCACTTTTCCGCGAAAGATTTCAACCGGAGGAACGGATGCGCCCAATTAGAGTGAAACGCGATATCAGTAGGAGTAGAGTAAGTATGCTTCCCTAGAATCCGAAATAAAGCAACATCCTACTTAGTTTCTTAAAGGACCAACTCCATATAATATATCATGTAAAAGATAATGCTACATTTTTGGTGTGCCTTACATTTATAGCAATTTAAATCAATACGCAGCTCTTTTAATACGAACAATCATATTTACCTCGTGTGTTACAACTTACTTTTTAATAAGATAAAAATTCCTTAAAAAAATATTAAAATTTCCAAAATAATTATTTGATTAGGTGGCAGTGCTACTTCAACAATTTACGAAAAGTAGAAACGTCAGTAAGCACAGTTTATGTCAAAAAAATTAAAAGTGAAACTACCTTCTTTTTTTTGTATCATGGTATGAATTTTCCTATAAAAGAAGCACCAACTCTATGACGAAATGAATGAAAGCGATATATATTTAACAATTTTGACTTATATGCCTGACAAATATTTTTTGTAAAAAACAAACAAAAAAATTTAATTTTGTGCTAACTTCGAAACTAGAAGCTTATTTTTTTTTGAATGTGCTTTAAAAAGGACCTACTGCCAATAAAGCCTTGCGGTTTGCTATTTTTTCAAATGTGTAATGCTTCCATTCAAAAATCTTTGCGGTTAAACAGTTTTTTGTTCAGAAATTGCTTGTTTACGTTTTTTGTCTTTCATATTAGAAACGTTTGGCATAAGTAGAAATCATAGGGATACCGTTTTCTTTCGTTTCTCAAAGGATTTTATACTTGAAAAGGCACCAAAATATGTATGCAATACTTTTACATATCGTCATTTAAAGTACAAAACCGCGCATCAAGAAAATGCAAAACCTTGTATGTGAGGTTGCCTAAATTTTTTAGGAAGAGTAAAACTTGTCATAATTCAAAACGGTTCTCTCTTTTAAACTTAATTATCTCTTCTTATGTCAAAGTATCGAAATTTTAGTATAAATAATTAAGGGCTTGATGATAGTAGGAGCTTTCAGTGTGCAAATATCTTTTTTGGCACAAATGTCAGAACCACGATACGCGCTTTTGTACTTTAAACGACAATATACAGATTGGCGCTTACACAATATGATAGTGTTTGGCCTAGCTTCTCCTCCGAAATGGGGCGTGTGCCTTGATTTTGTCACACAAAGGGAAGGGCAGTTTTACGCCGACTCCGAACGGCAATCGTATTTTTATGAGAAGCTGTTTTCATGACAGAATACACTCGGAGGTTTATTACACGGTTAAAAATTTCGGTTTTAATTTTAAACTTTTTGGACTACATATATGACCAAACTAAATTCAGTTTCAAATACAAACCTTCCAAGTTTATAAAAAAGAGAGCACATATGTTGGGTTTAGAATTTAAACAATTCGGTTTAAATGTTAAACCCAAACATTTTCATAATTAAGAATAAAAAAAAAAAACAATCTTAAATTTCATGCTCCGTCTGGTTGGGATTGAACCCGGACAGCCTTGGTAGCAACCAATTGTATCAAGCATCTTTGCACACTCAGCTACAGCCACGCATGTAAATGTGCTTTCATATGTTGAGTTTGAATCAACACCACAATTCGCTGTGCAAACATATTCTATTTCGGTTTAGATTTTAAACCAAAGTTTCTATATTTGAAACCTAGAAACTAGAATTAAAACATTTTGGTTTGATTTTTAAACCACGAACTTTTTGGGCTAAAATTTAAACCAGAATATATTAAAAATTGCGTAAAACTATTGACTGGTTTAAAAAGTAGACTATAAAAGTTTAAAAAAGGCAGTAGTCCCAGCGCGGTTTAAAAATTCAACCCAAATTTTTGACCGTGTATTACCCATAGAGGGGCGACCGCGAACATCGGAGTGTATATAAGTAATATAAAAAAGAATGAGAGGTACTATAAGAAAATGTACCCAAAATTCAGGAGCAAATGAAAAACTGCTCATTGAAAATAACTCACATGTATACATATATTAAAAAATATAACTTAAGCGGTTACAGCGCTAAACAAAAGGAAGAGATAGAAAAAATAGCAATGCGGTTTGAAGGAAACATAAGACCGTAAAATGTTTGTTTATTTTGTTAATTCTCCTAACCTTTTAAGATATGACACTCCATTCTTTGCATTAGTTTGCAAATATACAACACTTATTGTTCTACAATGGCAAACATTTTCGTGGGATGTTTTTCTTTAATTTCGATTTGAAAATACATTGCGATCATATTGTACAGAAATAAGTGCGATATCCCTGCATTTTGTAGAAACCAGAAAGAAGCATCAACTGTATGAAAAAATGAAAGGGAGAAGTATACATGCCTTCTATAATTTTGACTTATAGGTGTAGGGATTTGCCCGTACACTCGAATTTAAAGCCAGTTGGCAACATTGTTTTTCATTATTCACTTGTCTTTATTCATTCATTTAAATATTCATTCGATTTCTATACTTTAAAGGCTGATTCACATACAGCTTTCATCGCTTTGCTTGATAGTTCTTTGCTTTGACATATAAGATCGATGTAGGCATGTGCATGAGTATGCTCACATAAAAAACGTTTGAAGCAAAGCAAAGCAAAACGGAGCAAAATCTTGGGCAACTCTCAACTTTTGCCCGCTTTGGCAATCAGCTGTCTACATGTATCTTTTCTCGTGCGCTTGCATTTGCATTTAATGACAAAAATAGGGTAAATAGGAATTATTATTGCTATTATTAATGCATATTATTATATTTTTATCTATTTTACAGTGAAAAATGTGGAGGAAAAGGAGAACGCAAAAGCTGTCAAAGCGTTTATTGTAGCATACCTTCTGCGTTTCACGCTTTGTTGTCAAAGTTTGAACTGCCAAGCAAAGCGAGGAAAGTCTTATGTAAATGGAACTTAATAACGGACGCGTTGCTTTTGGAAGAAAGAATTTTGATTTTGTAGTTTATTTGTACGCTAAGTGCGTAAAATATAGTTTAATTAATAAAACGTAAAGATATAACTGGTGACCCCGCCGAAAACGCAAAATGCCAGAGGATAATTTTGAGGATGCAGTAACTACAGTTCAAGTGGCCCGACTCGCCGTCAAGGCACCACCATTTTGGAAGCCCGACCCTCGCCTCTGGTTTGCACAGGTGGAGGCGCAATTCGTGCGCTCTGGGATCTCCACTGACGAAACCAAATTTTATGCAATCGTTGCGGAAGTCGATTCAGCAATTCTCGCACATGCCACTGACATAATTTCGGCGCAGCCGGCTACGAACAAATACAATACATTAAAGGAGAGGTTGATTGACGAGTTCGGGGAGTCGACAGAAAGGCGTCTCAAACGATTATTCGAGACGTGTGAGCTAAATGACAGGAAGCCTACAACTCTACTACGTGAAATGAAAGAGTTGGCCAACCACCGCCTCGATAAACAGATTCTTAAATCTTTGTGGATGCGTCGCTTACCGGTACACGTACAACAAATTTTAGCCACGCTAAACGACGACGTCGAAATTTTGGCCCAAAAAGCTGACGACATTTTGGATATTTCACCGGGGGACAAATTAAGCACAATCGATACAGAGGACACGCGGGCAACTTTAGCAGACCTCGTGAGCAGTTTGATCGCATTGAAAGTTAGAATCAATGTAATGTTGATCGTATCGGTTATGGTGGGCATCAAAAGGCTCCACCCTCGCGATCAACTCCAATCTAATATTTGTTGGTACCATCAAGCATTTGGTGAACAAGCGAATAAATGTCGACCGCCCTGTGCATATGTGAGACCGCGTTCGGAAAACTAGTCTTTCCTCCGTTTCAAGCCGCAAAAGCAGAGGATGGCAATTCTTACCGCCTGTATATACGAGATAGAACACCTTCGTTAACATTTTTGATAGAAACGGGTGCTGAAATATCGGTAATCCCAAATAATAAGAACGACAACGTACAACCTGCACCGATGAAGTTAATCGCAGCAAACAACACGCAGATAAACACCTACGGGAAAAGACGGCTCACATTAGATCTAGGCTTACGTCGCCAATTCGGCTGGTTATTTGTGGTAGCTGATGTTTATTATCCGATCATTGGCGCAGATTTTTTGCAAAATTTCGACGGTATACCAAATTACGAAGTCACCACAGGACACCCTTTCACNGATGAAGTTAATCGCAGCAAACAACACGCAGATAAACACCTACGGGAAAAGACGGCTCACATTAGATCTAGGCTTACGTCGCCAATTCGGCTGGTTATTTGTGGTAGCCGATGTTTCTTATCCGATCATTGGCGCAGATTTTTTGCAAAATTTCGACATTTTAGTCGATATGAAGAACAAATCGGTTATAGACCGAACGACAAACATTCGCACGGTATGCCAAGTTACGAAGTTACCACAGGACACCCTTTCACTCAAAGGTGCGGACACCTTGCATAAGCTTTTGGCCCGTTACGTGGATCTCACGGACGATTCTCGTAAATTAGCACAACAAAAAACGTCGACACAACATTTCATCGAAGAGCAAGAGGAGCGCCTGTGGCGCAGAAAGTACGTCGCCTCTCACCGAAAAAACTCAAAATAGCAAAAAAATAAATTCGTATGTAACACCGTACACATGATAGAAGTGAAACTTCTTAAAAAGGTGTGAGTACCAGGTACCTACTCACGAAATTGCATGTGTAAACATATGTTTACGGTTCGGCAAACCATTAGGCGATTGAGTTACATACATAGGTTTGGTAAGAAATCAAACAATAATTTCATTTCATCTTATTAATTTTCTGATATACATATAATTTATTTATTAATTTTCCGGTAACACCACATTATATGAATTCGCGCTTCTAGCATCCATAGGACCGGGTTGTAATGGAAGTAATTGTATGTTTAACAAATAAATGAAAA